TTGTGTTCCCCTATAATTACTAAAATAAATTGACATAAATTATACGGTATTTTATTTATTTCTAATTAGGGAATATGTCAATTTTAGTCCCACAGGTATGGGGAGGTGACATTTTTTGTCCCAACGGAATGCCTAAAATACAAATGGTCCCGCAGCTTTTAAAAAACGATCAAAAGTAGTACTTTCTACCCTTTTCCGGCCCGGAAATCCACGTCGCACCTTATGTGGCTTTTTTTTTTCCACGCTGGCTTCATACGTCTGACGTGGATGACACCACCCACACGCCTGGCAAATAAAACGGGCAAAATCAGAAATCTTCCATTTCAAATCTTAAATTCCCAAAATCAGAACCCTAATCCCCAAATCTCCTCAAAAATCCCCACGAAATTTGTTATGGTCGAAAGCACACTTGAGGAGAAGCTAAACGCAGGAACGGGCATACTCATATTTCTTCCCCCAATTTTCCAAATTTGTCAAATCTCGACCCTAGTTGAAATATGTCTTTTGTCACCGGAGATCGGACATGCCGTTGTGGTGGGAGGACGGTGATTCGCACAACGTGGAAGGACGCCAACCCTGGGCGGCGATTCCAGTCATGCTTGAATTACGAGGTAAGGTGTTAAATACAATTGCATATTTAATGAAGTCTTTTATTCATATGTGAAGAATTAATTCTTTTTTCTTGATTTCTAAATTATTCTCTCATAGAATGGAAGCTGTGATTTCTTTGACTGGTACGATCCTCCAATGTGCCGTAGGTCTAAAATGATAATTCCTGGCCTCTTGAGGAAGATGAATGAAAGAGAAGCTGAGATTGAGATGTTGAAATTAAAAAATGAACATTTGGTGAAGTTGGATAAAAAGATGAAGAAGATGAATGAAAGAGAAGCTGAGATTGAGAAGCTGAAATTAAAAAATGAACATTTGGTGAAGTTGGTTAAAAAGTTGAAGAAGATTGTCTGCATTTTGGTTCTTTTACTGGTGTTTATCATATTATCCAAGTTCAAAGTTGCTAAGGAGAACCCAAGTGGAATGAACCATGTGAAGATGCTTCAGTGACTGTCCTTTTGAGTGGTAGGATGCTTCAGTTTTCTTTTGCTATAGTGAAGATGGTGTGTTTTCATTTTGAATGGTAGGATGATGAAGACCTTTTGCTGGTATTTGTATTCATATTTATGTTATGATGTATCTTGTGTATGTTATGCTCCATTGAATTTAAGTTGTTGTACTTGGAATGAAAAAAGCTGTCTTTTGGTTTAATTTTTGTATGTTATGATTCAGTGGCTTTTAAAATGTTTATTTGAATGAGAGAATGTTTGTCATAATGAAAATCATTATGAAAACTGCACAAATGACACACATAACCAAAAACCTGTTTGTCATTGATTTTGCCAAACCAAAAACCTGCACAAAATGATTTTAAAAAAGATAACCAAACCAAAAATCATTATGAAAACTGCACAAATGACACAAAAACAAGTTTCAGAACCAAAACTTGTCATTTCACAAATGACACAAAAACTAATTTCACAATAAGAAAACAAGTTTCAGAACCATAATAAATCTAAATCAACCATCCCAATTGTTTCAGAACCAAAACATGTCCAAAACAAGTTTCATAATAAAAAAAACTTACATAAAACTTAGCCTAACACACAAATTTTTTTGTTTCACTTCTTTTTCCCCTTTCCTTTCTTCACTTGCACTCTTGTCTGGCTTTTCTGAGAGAGATTCAAGAATTTTTTCCCACCTTCCACCACAATTGACTTGGAGCTGTTGGGCATGGTACTGAATAATGGTCTGCTATATCCTCCTGTGATTGGTGGGGGTGCTCTGATATTGATCCTAGTCTGCAGAGGATTAGTCACAGGTGGCTGGTTTGAGGACATTTTCAGCTGCTCAAATGGAGAAGGACCTGGCTTGTGAGGCTGCACATACTTATATATGTTGCTGTCAACCTGGCTTTCAACTGCTGCCATCAATTCCTGATCTGAAATCACACTATCCATCAGATCCTCTTGGGTGGGTGGTAAAATATGTGATTTTGCATTTTTCTTCTGTTGTGGTGCATTAGATGAATTCTCCACACCTCTTTTGCTTGGTTTGTTAACCTGGAAATTATAAATAGTTATAAAAATGTTGTAAATGAGCAAACAAAATACATGTGCAAGAAATATACTTGTGGCTGAGGCTGCTCATGTTCATAGAAGTCCATCTCAGTATAGTTATCAATTGCTGCCATCAACTCCTCATCTGAGATGACACTATTCATCAAATCATCTGCTCTGGGTGGTAAAATATTGGCATTTGCATGAACCTCATGTTGTTGCTGTGGTGCATGAGAAGATTTTCCAACTCCATCTGTGTTTTTCTTGGTAACCTAGCCAACACATATATTCATAAATTTTTTGATACAAGGAGCAATTAATTGAAATACATATTTTTTTTAAGAAAAGATATAATTTTACCTTTAACTTCTCCCTCCTGATAGGGATAATGGCATTTGCATTTGCATTTGCTTTCTGTTGTTGTGGTGCAGTAACCTAGACAATATACATATTTATAAGAAGTTTCTTAGAATGACCAATCAATTCAAATACATGATTTTGTAAGAAAATTAATGTAAGGACAATATATATTTTACCTTACATCTGAGAGCATTGTGACCTGTTGCATGACATTTGGAACACCTTACAGTTGTTTGTTGTTTCTTAAGCTTGAATGGACAAGTTAACCTCTTTCTTTTACCCCTCGGTTCTTCAGGTTCTCTTCTTCTCAAAGAAGTGGGTCTGCCTCTGCCTTTTTTCTTACCATGAAGGGGGGGGTAAAGGAGGAACATAGGAAGTCTGCCCCCATACAGAGTCACCACTCATTGGCATGATTGCACATTCATATGCTAGTCTGTAGGAGTCTACTGAGTAAAAATGGCTCACAAAGTCAATTGGGTCTTCTTTCTGGTGGATAATGGCTCTAAGAGCATGTGTGCAAGGTATACCACTCAACTCCCAAGCCCTACAGGTACATGTTTTCTTGTCAAGGGCCACAGCATACTGTTCTCCACCAGAGCAAGAAATTTGATAATTTTTATCATCTGCTTTAATTGGAATGCACTCACCCATCTTCTCTACATGTTTGTCCAAGATCTTTTCTATCTTAGGACACAATTTTCCATGCCATTTTGCAGCTGCTCTGTCCCTATTATGCTGGAGCCTTACCATCAGATACTCTCTAATCCATTCCAGCAAAGTGATGATGGGCTTGTCTCTTGCCTCAAGGATATTTGAATTGAAAGCCTCACAGACATTGTTAAGCACCATATCACATTTTGGGAAACATGAGAAGTGTGATTTTGACCACTCACTTGGTGCTTTATCATGAAACCATGACCATGCATCTGGACTGAGATTTTTCATATCCATCATCCTCCTCTTAAATTCTCCAACTGTAGTAGCTTGTGCAGCACCCCACAATGCTAGCTTTTAAGCCCCTGAAACCTGCATTCTTGAAGTTGCAGTGCAGGTGTCTAACACAGAACCTATGAGGACTATTTGGAAAAACCTCTTTGAAAGCCTGTATTAAACCCTTTTGTTTGTCACTCATGAAGGTCATTTGCTCATCAACATCAATCTCTAGGTCTGACTTAAGTATGGTTAAAAACCATGACCAAGTCTCTCTTGTTTCTCCACTGACAATGGCATAAGCTACGGGGAATAAATTATTGTTGGGATCCACACCCACTGCAGTCAGTAAGATACCTAGATTATGTCCCTTCAAGTGACAACCATCTACACCAATTATAGGCCTACATCCCTTTTTGAATCCCCTTTTCAAAGCATTAAAACAACAGTAGAACTTACTGAATCTGGTTTCACCATTTGAAGTGATAGTGTCAAGGATGACAGTGCTTCCAGGATTGGTCTTTCTCAGCTCATCAGAATAGTCCCACAAATTAGAGAATTGCACAGAAGGATCACCTTGTATCACTTTCAAAGCTCTTCTCTTGGCCCTGTATGCTTGTTGCTTGGACACATCAACTCCAAGCTTTTTAATCACTTCAGCCCTCCACCCTTTGGTAGTCCTCTTAGGATCAGTCTCAAAATTTTCAAGATACTTTTCACTCAACCATTTACTTTTTAAGTTCTTCACAATGAACTCTGGTTGACAAGTGTGATTAGGAAAGTAAGTAGAAATTATGAAAGTTTCTTCATCTGGTTTCTTAAGAGCATTGATTCTCCATTTGCAGCTCTCAGCCTGACACTCAACATATACCCTTCTATTGTCATTCTTTGTGAACTTCGAGTTTCTTTTTGTGCTAATAGCATGAGACTGAATTGCCTTTTTAAATTCTGCCTTAGTAGCAAAAACCATGCCTAATTCAAATGTTGGATTGAAAATAAGTGCAGGGTTGAAGGCAGGCTCACTTGGCTCACAATCTTCATCAGACACCCTAGACTCATCTAGTTGAGGGCTATGGATAACCACATCATCTTCCTCATCATCATTATCTGAACCATTGACATCATTATATGAACCATGAACATCCTTATCTGAATCATTGACATCATTATCTGAACCATTGACATCATTATCTGAACCATTGACATGTTTGTCCATATCATCAACATGTTCTTCCCACAAATCGTCATCATCTTCACTACTATTTTCAGTACTCATGTTGTAATCAGAATCATTTAATTCATCAGAATCAGAATTATATTCATCCACAAACATCATATTCCTACTTATACCCATGGCTTCTTCATATGGTAGCCAGATGGAGCCCAATGTCTTGTTATTTGGATCATTTGGAACAGACTCAGGAGCAGATTTAGGGTCATTAGACTTAGAGGGCTCACTGGGCTCACCAGACTCATTAGGTTTAACAACAGGATCCATCAAATCAACATATATATGCATCTCTCTAGTTCTAACAGCATCTTGAACAAATTTACTAAGATCTTTGTCACTGCACAACAACAAAAACCCACTACTCCCATACATGTACAACCCCATCTCTCCACTGATCCCTACTTATTTGCACCAAAGATTGATAGCCAACAATTTCAATTCTTGTGGGGTGACATAATCAACTATAAAAATCTTACCTCCTTCATATTTTGGTGTTGGGAAATGTTGAAATTTTCCATTCCAATGCACCACCAATGAGAAAGAATCAGACGTTGGATCTGAAATTTTTGAGAAACAAAAAGTGGTCAATAGTGTATACATCCGGATGAACACATTTGATAAAACACAATAAAAATAAACAAATAAAACTGAAGAATCTTTTTATAAAACCCAAAGAAATAAACAAATAAAACAATGGACACAAATATACAGACAAGACAAGAAAATGCCAAAAATCCCGAAACAATGGAACAAAATACACAAAATCGAAATAAACTCAAATGATAAACTCAAATGATAACTTACGATATATGGGAGGAGGCAAATTCTGGTGCAATTTTTGACGGAGTAAGTCCATTCGCGTTCAACCTTATGCGCAATTGTGGTTTTGATCAACTTCAATCGTTTACTCGAAGTTGGGGCGATTTTTGGGATTGGGGATTAGGGTTCTAATGGTAGGCGACAATTTTGGGGGGAAGATTTCTGATTTTCCCTCGTTTTATTACCAGGCGTGTGGGTGGTGTCATCCACGTCAGACGTATGAGGCCAGCGTGGAAAAAAAAAAAAGAAAAAAAAAGCCACATAAGGTGCGACGTGGATTTCCGGGCCGGAAAAGGGTAGAAAGTACTACTTTTGATCGTTTTTTAAAAGCTGCGGGACCATTTGTATTTTAGGCATTCCGTTGGGACCAAAAATGTCACCCCCCCATACCTGTGGGACTAAAATTGAAATTTTCCCTTTCTAATTAAGTTCAATATACTGAATCTGAAACGAAATAATTTATTGAGAGAAAGAATTATATTTTTGTAGAACATTGTATAAGTATCTTGTTAATGAAAAAATATCAAAAGATTTAAAAAATTTAAGTTGGTTAAGTGCACAAGGAAAATTAGTTAAAGAAAAAAAATTATACTTTGCCTACTCAACTTTGC